CGGGCTGCTGCTTTCGGCAATCCTGCGACATCCGGCTGCCTTGGACGAACCCTTGCAAATATTGGTGATCAACCCGGAAAAAGTCCAACACACAAAAGGCTGCAGCTTTGATTCCGAAAGGGTCGCACAAGGCCCTGGGAAAGCCATCATCTGATCGATAACCCCATCACGAACCCTGTTTTCGCGCGGTTCTTTTCGGAGGCTCGGCAGTTCGGTTGACTTTGTTGGGCTTGACGCCGCTCACTTTGTCGAGAATGCGCCGTCAGAAAGCGACCGCCGCTGCGGTGATCAAGGTGACACGGAACAGGATCACCATCCACTGGCCCCCAATCCCCAGCCGTGCCAACCATTTAGCTGCAGGTGAGCCGGGGGATGCGATTTCGCCAATGTTTTGGGATATGAGCCAGGACTGGAATCCCCCTCATGACGGGCATGTCAAACCATGTCAGAGATCGCAATTTCTCCAGTTACGCTGGGCCCCCAACCAACCCCAGAACCAAGCCTGCACTCACCGCTTGAAGGAATCGTGCAAGTTGGTCGGCTGAGACGTGGCCAAGACATCAGGCTGATGTCGATTGATTATTTTGGAAGTCCCCCGGTCGAGCCAGGCGTTCGTTGATCGATGTTGATGAGCGAGCGACGGGGTTTGTCAGAGACCTTCACCACGTAAACAAGAATTTGACTGCTGCGTGGGCAAAACATTGGCATGTCTCAACGCTAGTGGAATGCCTCTGATTTAACGTCTGTTGCTGCAAGTTGAGCTGAAGATTTGTCGAACATGTCTCTGCCGACGGCGACGTCCGCCGAGACTAACAGCACTGACAGCTCAACGACTTGGCTCCGTGCATCTGGCGTGAAAGACAATTCTCGAACCATTGTGAGGCGAACTCGTTCGTGACATTGGCTGCCCGGGCGACGAGTATCAAGAGCGGAAGCACAGGTGGTCCGAGTGGCTGAATTGCATGATGCGAGGAGCCAGCCGTGTCTCTGGAGTCCTCGATGGCATCCTTGCCTGACTTGCAGCCCTACGATAGCCCCCAAAAGGCTGGGGAACCAATCTCGCTATTGCCTTGCCTGCCTGGCTGAGCTCAGCTCACGTTACAGTACCTTTGATATCGATGCATCGATCAGAAGATGGAAGCGCCTCTTCGCGCCATTCCTGCAGGTCCCAGCAGCTCCAGCAGCTCCAGCAAGGCTGTGCGACGGATGGCGTTTTTAGGTGTATGTAGTGTCCCATCGGCGGGAGTCTTAGTGACCTCGGGAACGCAAAATAGTAGCTTCGGTGAGAGCTAGCTACCGTAAAGGGCATCGTGTTTGCAATATTGAGTAAAGCGACAAGTCAGAAAAGGTGCCACAAAGTGCAGGCATGCCGTCATAGATTGTCCGCGGCTGCGGCGCGTTGCACAGCCTCTCGCAGCACTTCGATCGTGACATTGTCGGATGAGCTGGGAATGAGTCGATGCTACTATTCACGGAAAAAATTCACCGCACAGAAGAGTCTCGGAAAGCTGCTTCATCGGTTGAGCATCTGTCGTACTCATCTCAAGAGTCTCAAACAATTCGCGTTTGTTCGACGGGCTCTCAGAGCCCCATCTCATCCCGCGCAACCTCATGATCGTTTCACTGGCCTTTTTCGTCACGATACTGACAAGCCAAGTGTTCTGTCATTTCCGCGCGCTGTCTCTGGTTTCCGCAGTCCGACAGAATGCAGGCCATTGGCCGTTCGCCAAGGGAGGCGTCGGCAGCCTCGGCATGGCCAGTCTGAACAGAGGCAATACGGTCGACTCTCGTTGCATAGCCAATCAGAGAGCCCAGACACAGAGCCGTAAAGAGGCATCTGAAACAATGCTCTCTCGTCCTCGCTCCGCAGTGACACGAGTGCGACGCAAGCCCCCAAATGACAAAGTGTGAGAGGGCGAACAACGTTCAGTAAAGTCCGCCCCACGTCCGCAGCAGCTCGGCCACTCACCGTATTCCCACGTGGTGGACAAGGGGCGGGCTGACGAGCAAGAACAACCACCCCTGACGATCATACCTTGAACAGGGGCTCAACGGGCGACTGCGACGTCCGGGCTCGAATCACGTATCGTCCTTCACGCAGCTCAGTGGTTGGTAATTCAGGCTCAGCGCTGTGGTTTGCTGCGTTTCTGCATCGCGATGCCGCGTTTGCTGATCAGCTGGTGTGGTTTAGTCGCCCAATAGACTGCTTGGCCAACACCAAGCTACAGACAACCACTACTGCAGGTACGGTGGCAAACGGCAATGATTCGATATCCCGCATTCCAGTTTTTGTCCAATTTGTATTCCGCTCCTCTCGGCTTCCGAGACGCTTCCCTCGGCCCCTTGAAGTTGATTACAATTTCTTGCAGCAATTTTGAAGCAAGCAAGGGACACCACGGCGGACGTCGGGCTAGACGTATTGAAGCAGCCTCAACCTGCGGACGAACAAGCTCATCTCGTAAGTGAGGACAAAATTGACCCCTTCTACCCCATACCATCTTGCCGCAATCGCGGTGTTCATGACCCACTTTGCTTGATGTCGTACGCGATCTGTCGAAAATAGGTAATCCGGAGAAGCCAAAACGCTGCCATTTTAGGCAAAACGAAGAGAAATGTCCCCCCGTGCTCCTAACTCCGCCTGCTGTATCCTTGCGTGGGGGATTTCTGAGACGAAGGTCTGTCTGCAACAGATGCTGCACGCACGTCCCGTCTGAACGGTGACGGAGTGTAGAAACGGTCAACATCGGCCGACTTTCGTGAACACCCACCCACCGGCCGACCGGATCGGTGGGGGGAGGAAACGGTCTTTCGGCCGTACAACATGGCGTCTTCCCCATGGGACGAGGCCAAGTCGTACGTGCATGTTTCCGCAGCTTCGTTATCAAGTACGTCAATGGCTCGATAGTTGGTTGCCATGCTATTCCTGTTCGACGATCACCCACACCCTCCGCTACCTCGCAGATGGAGGTCATGCGGCCAGCAAACTGGGTTGCGGTTCGACGGAGGATCTGCTGTGCCGCGCTGACACCATTGCTGCAATCAATTCTAAACCGTCAGCTTAGCGGGGTAACGGGTAACGATCACCATCTTATCGAAATCCCCTGCAAACCTGCAAGGCTTTCCAAAGGCGGTGTTGAGGCTGCAATCCTTATCAGATTACCTGCGGCCGTCAGCGTGCGTTGCTATGCAAACCTCGGTACCGGTGGGGTTGACCACGGTGTGTAATCGACTGGACGGTCTGCCTGGATTCAAGATGCTTGAGGCCGCATTGCCGTCCGCACCCGCTGGCATGGCGTCAGAGGCCCTCGTCAAGTCGTCCGACTGCTCCGTCCGTGCCTTTGCCGGACGGCCTAACGGGAGACTGCCGCGCTTCTGCCTGTCGATGAGCCATAGCCTGGATGTGATCGGCCGAAGCAGCTGTAGTCAAGCTGTCGTTATCGGGATCCTAAGCCACCATCGCTGGAAAGGGTGGTGTGCAGCTGTGCAGCCAAGGATCCCACGACACCATTGCTCAACGCCCACGGTGTAGTTCAGCTTCGCAGGCAACACGTTGGCCGGTACTTTGATGGGATGTATCTTTTTCTTGAACAGAGTTGGTGCGTGGGATTAGCCTTCTGTTGCGTGTTCAGCAAGGTTGGCGTCAGCGTCCCATCTTGGACCTGGCTGTGTGTGACATCCTTGTTGGAGGTCCCCGATTCGGGTGTCCGTGATGTCCATACTCGCGATGGACCTTCCAGAGAGCGAGTAGACCCGTCAGCAAGGACCTGACACAACGACTCTTGAGACAGCCGACGTGCGTTTAACGACTTATGTCATTCAGCGGTGAACCACCGTGTCCCCTGGTCGTTTTCGGGTCCGGCAGCTTCGGCGACCGCTTGAAAGCGAACTTCAGAAATGTGACGCTGTTGGTAATCACTTGTACAGCCGCCTGCTTCGGACCGAGTTTGCGCTGTCAGAATGTGCCGTTTGCTCATCGAGATGTCATCGTCGATGCAGTTCAGGTGAGTCAGTTTCCTGCTCAGTAGTTCACGCCAAGAAGACACCGCGACAGTCAAGAAGAGGGGTTAGAAACGAAATTCTAAAGTTGGCGCAGGCGCCGGTTGATGTTCAATGATTCCGGTGGAGAGGGAACTTCGTAGATCTAGCGTTGGCTTGGCATAAGTGCCCCAAACTAAGACGTAACGTCGTAAGCTCCATCAGCCACAGACCATGAGGCTGGGCTGTCGTCTGCCAATCAATTGGCGTGTCATTGAGCTCGTTTCACTTGTCGCCCGTCTAGCTAAACATCGTCGACCGTGCGCTCGTTTTTCAACAACTGTTGCCCATGGCTCTCGAGGATCGACGACTCGGCACCATGCCGTGGCAGAGCACTGGAAACCCGGGGACTTTCCTGGCGAGCAAGACGGAGCCCGTCCGCGTGGCCAAGCGCCGTCTGGAGGCCGGAATATTCTTTCATACGGCACGGGCGGCCATTTGGCCAGAGTCCGGTGATCGAGCCCAGGATGTCCATGTATTTCCCCAGCGTTACCCCAAGGCTTGGCCAACATCAACCCTGGGCACACGTGTCCCCGACATGATTCTTGAACCATCTCGCTCTCGCCATGGTCATGTAGTGGGGCTCCCTCGAAACAACCGTTCCTGGGATATTCGCCTATTCCTGCTGCAAGGCCTGCGAAAAACTGGAGATCTCGATCTGACTGTGAGGGTGCATCTTATGATTGTCGCGTGTCCTATCACGAGAGGGCGCTCGGCGGTACCCATACACACGAAACAGTAGGATGACAGTCCATCAGTAATACCATCATCCTATAGCCATATTGCATCCCAACAAATGACAGAAGTGTCAAATTCGATCCGAAGCGGGCTGTCATCGTACCATCGCGTATTCATGCCACCAGAGACCCTAACTTAGGCTGGAAAAGCGGCATCATCTCGTCATGCTTCTCGTGTTGGGTTGGGTGTGTAGCAGACATGCCTTGTTTGCTTCTTCGACCCACGCCTCACAAGGCGTCTTCCTCGGCACCAGGGTTAGGCATCTGAGTTGAGGTGATCCAGTTCTCCATGCTGGCTTGGCCAGCCGGCTGCTTGGCGTTCCCAGAAGTGCCCGACGACGCCAGCCTCAGACCTTGGCGTTTCTTGACGACGAGGCACAGGACACGACCGTAGATGGCAAACCCCTCATACGAGACATCCATGGCCATCTTCTTCTTGTCGTCGTCTTCCTGGTCGTCGCCAGACCCGGTAGTCTGTTTCTTCAGGCGCTTGGACGGGCGGGGAGCGTCGTCGTCCGAGTCTATCTCGATTGCCGAGGCCTCCCCGCCAATATCGTCGTCCGAAGCAAGGTCGTGATCATCGTCTTGATCACGAGCTGCCCCGCGCTGTCTTTTGGAGCGCCGAGGCCGTGTTGTTTCATCAACCGCGGGGATACGGGAAAGACCGGCGGGCTCTTCTTCGGACTCACTTTCGTGCCGAATGTGCACCGTAGTATCGGCGGATTCGGCGTCCAGGTCAATGGGTGTGTCATTGGTTTCGTTTATGAGCTTATTAGAGTTGGACTTCAACTTGCTCTGTGCCTTGTCGCGGAAATGCTTGTGCTTAGTGAGCAGCGAATGACGGGTGGTGGTCTCAGTCAAGAACATGGAGACCTCAAACTCGTCTGGTCAATGCAGCGGTCAGTCTAATGTTCAGACAAACCATGCTTTCATACCGTATATGGTGGTCCAGACCAGGCTGATAACGACGTTGGAGAAGTGCTTGGATGGGAAGTGGCAGCGTGCAAGGCTGCGAAACAGGGTGGCAAACCTTGAACGACGACATCTTTGATGGTCTTCTTCTTGGAGCTCTTCTTTTTGGATCTTTCGCGTTCCTTTTCCTCGCGGAGTTTTGGTAATACCAGGGGGCGGACACTCTCAATTACTTTGGGCAGGATGGGATTCCGTGGGTTGAGCAGCCAGCTCTGTGCCAGGGCCGGGTTGTCGAGATAGATGCGGCATTCAAGCACCGAGTACTTTGTGATCCGGAGATATCGGCGGAGGGGTGCCATTATTCAGGTTCGAAGTAGGTCGTGCTGGATGGTGTTGCGGTCGCAGGGAATCTTCAAAGGTTCAGCTGCGTGTGTCCAGGACGAAGACGTGCTTCGCTGAGAAGATGGATGAGGCTGGCAACGTCGTATGCAAAAGTGTGTCAAGCGAGAAGGTGATGAAAACCTAGATGACCGCAAAAGGAGGTACTTGAGATGAGCAGGAAAGGAAGGTCCAGCGTTGAATGCGACGTGGTTTGGAGGGAAGGAAGTCAATGGGAGAGTGACGCTGTTGATGTGATGTGAAAGGCCCCCACCGTGCCGAGGGAGGTTCCTTCCCCGGGTTTGCCTGCATGCAGTTGCAGTGGTGGATGGGGGTGGTACTTGCCCAGCTCCGGCAGGTACCTCACGTAACTCAGCGTTGGCGGCTCTCAAGCATGGAACTTTACAGTGGACTGTCAGCCTTGCAGCGGTGCTACCTGCGCTATTGCTGGCAGCTGCTGCGACCTCGGTGCGATGCAGGCGGTGTGCCCCACTTAATCTTTTCTCAGTCGACGGATGCATTGGATCGCGTCAATTCGTCGGCGATGAAGGTCAACATCGACAGCATCCCATAGAGCGCATCGTCGTTGCGGCTAGTCCACCTCCCACACACCCGTCCCGCGGTGATGCCCACGAGCAGACCATGTCAAAGTCATGGGCATCGACGCTGAGGTTGCCCAAGTCCACCTTCCCGTAAGGACCTGACCCCCGCCCTCCGCTCCGGCCTCAGCTGACCCGGCCCGTTCTAGACCTCGCCCGCTCCCGCAGTTCCGCGCCGACTACCTGCGCCGATGCGCCGATGATTTCTACAAATGGCAGTCGGCCAATGACTCTCGACCGGGCTTTACGCTTCACGATGGGCCCCCGTACGCGAATGGTAGCCTTCACGTTGGCCATGCCTTGAACAAAGTCCTCAAGGACATGATCTCCAGAGTCAAGGTCCAGCAAGGTTGGAACCACTGACCCTACAGCACCAATGCTTCGGTAGCTGACTCTGTATACCCAGGTTACCGAGTGCGATACAGACCAGGCTGGGATTGTCATGGTCTTCCGATCGAATTGAAAGCCGTAGGCACCTCTGGCGGCAAGGACATGACCGCCGTTGAGATTCGAAAGGCTGCGAGGCAGCTCGCTTCCAAGACAGTTCTGGAACAGATGGAGGGTTTCCGATCATATGCTGTCATGGGCGACTGGGACGCACGCTGGACGACCATGGACCCCGACTTTGAGATTAGGCAGTTGCGTCTGTTCCAGCAGATGGTCCGCCGAGGCCTCATCTACCGCAAGAACAAGCCCGTATACTGGTCTCCGTCCTCGAGAACCGCGCTCGCTGAGGCCGAGCTGGAGTACAACGAGAACCATGTCTCGACGGCTGCGTACGTCAGATACCCCATCATCGACGGCCCTGCCCTCCCCGGTTTCTCTGGTCAGCTCTACGCCATCATCTGGACTACCACCCCCTGGACACTTCCCGCAAACAAGGCCATCGCCATCCACGACGATCTGGAATATGCCGTCATCGCTGTCAACGGAAGCGCATACCTCACTGCTGTCACTCGTCTTGAGGCCGTTAAGGCCCTCTTCAGAGACGCCGAACCAGAGGTCATCGTGCCTTCCATTAAGGGCTCCGAGCTGAGAGGATTGAAATACCACAACAGGCTTCAGGGCGTTCAGTCGACTCCCCAGCCCATCATCCACGCAGACTTTGTCTCTGCCGATTCTGGTACCGGTCTTGTTCATATTGCTCCTGGTCATGGTTTCGAGGATTACGAAGCTTGCGCCGCGCTCGGGATCGACGCTTTTGCACCCATTGACGACGAAGGAAACTTCACCAGCGAAGCCTTCCCTGATGCACCCGAAAAGTTGACCCAATCCTCCTCGATCCTCAAGGGTGGCAGCAAGGCTGTTCTCGCCCTCATCGAGGACGACGTCTTGCAAGCTGCCAAGTACAAGCACAAGTACCCCTATGACTGGCGGACGAAGCAGCCCGTAGTCATGAGGTCGACCGCACAATGGTTCGCCGATGTGGACAGTATCAAGGACGACGCCATCACCGCGCTGAAGGATGTCAAGTTTGTCCCCGCCTCTGGAAGAAACCGACTCGAGAGCTTCGTCGTGGGCCGTAGCGAGTGGTGCATCTCTCGCCAGCGTGCCTGGGGAGTTCCCATCCCCGCCCTGTATGATGCCAACGGCGATGCTGTGGTTACGGAGGAGTCTGTCGACCACATCATCTCAGTCATCCAGAAGCGCGGCATTGACGCCTGGTTCTCCGACGCCCCTGATGAGCCCGCCTGGGTTGCCCCCTCTCTGCAAGGTCGTTACCGTCGCGGTACTGACACCATGGACGTGTGGTTCGACAGCGGCAGCAGCTGGACCGAAAGTGGCGGCCAGGCTGACGTCTACCTCGAAGGCTCTGACCAGCATCGCGGTTGGTTCCAGTCAAGCCTCTTGTCCTACGTTGCGGCCCAAAGAGCTGAGGGTGAAACGCAGCCCAAGTCGCCTTTCAAGACTCTCATTACTCACGGTTTCACTCTGGATGCAAAGGGCAAGAAGATGTCCAAGTCCCTGGGCAACACCATCACCCCTGGCGAGATCATGGACGGCACACTGCTGCCGCCTCTCAAGCTCCGAGGCAAAGCCAAGGTCGCCGGCGCTGGTCCGACCTACGAGGCCCTCGGCCCTGATGGCATCCGCCTCTGGGCCGCCAGCTCCGAGTACACCAAGGACGTCGCCATCGGCCAGAATGTTCTCAAATCAGTTCACATCCAACTGGTCAAGTACCGCACCATCATCAAAATGCTACTCGGCTCGATGCACGAGTCCGCTCGCACCGCCCCCACGACGACCCTGGACCATATCGCCCTCGTCCAACTGAAGGACGTGATGGAAGAAGTCCAAAAGGCTTATGCATCCCACGAATTTTACAGAGCTTTCAGCGCCATCAACCGCTGGGTCTCCAACGACCTGTCCGCATTCTACCTTGAGGCCATGAAGGACCGTCTCTACTGCGGCGACGGCGGCGGCGTCCTGGAGCCCATCTTCCACGGCTTCCTCCGCATGCTCTCCCCCATGACCCCCCTCCTCGTCGAAGAAGCTTGGGACCATCGCCCGGAATGGATGCTCCCCCTCGCCCACCCCCTGCAGACCCCCTATGACGCCCTGGTCCATACTATTCCCTCTTCCGTTATCAACGAAACCTCCCTCCGCAAAGACATTCCCGCTCTCCTCACCGCCAACTCCGCCATCAAAGCTGCTCAGGAACTCGGCCGCTCCGCAAAGGTCCTTGGCTCGGCGCTGCAGTCCTCCGTTATCCTCAACAGCGAGGACCCCGCCATCCTCGGCGTCCTGGAGAAGTACAAGCACGAGCTCGAGGCCATGTTCGTCGTGTCCTCCGTCGATGTTGGTACGCCCGTTCCCGAGGCCAGCGAGTGGAAATACGCCGTGGAGTCCGCCATGCCGGGTAAGCCTCAGGCGTTGGTACATGCTACCGTACTGCCGCCCAAGGACCACAAGTGTCCCCGCTGCTGGCGGTACATTGCGCCCAAGGAGGACGATCTTTGTGGTCGCTGCGAAGATGTCACGGCGACTTTGTAAGAATATTAAAAAGGATATAGATGTGTATAAATAGTCGCCTCCCAAGAATCTAAGAAAAAAGATACCCTTTTCTTCTTGATACAAACCAAGTCATCATCTCGACAGCCGGATTTCACAGCATGAACATCTTTTCCGATACGGAATGGCAGTGCAGTGCCTACGTGCCAGCTGGAAACCGACTTAAAAGGTCTGAGTGTGACGTCCTTCTTTTGTGTATAGTATGTTTTCTACGTTCTGTTCTCATTCATGCCCGCTCTTGGATGTGCAGTCAGTGTGAGAGTATTGTAGTCTTCGTCTGTTCCTATCTTCCTGTACGAAACACCAACTGCCATTTCCCGCAGACGAACATAGACTCTGTCAGGACCTTTCCGGGACACCTTCTCACGCAGAGCAACCAGCATAGCCTCCAGACTAGACCCGCCAGAGCTTTGAAGCGCGTGTATCTTGATGCCTCTTCTTCTACACTCGCTCTCATACAACACGGCCGCCCAATGGTCTCCCACAGCGAGCAGAAAAGGTTCTGTCTCGCCCGGGGCCCGCGTGCACCATCCCAGAGCAAGAACCCTGTGCCAGAGTTCGGGTCCAATGGCCAAGGCGTCGTATGGCTTCTCCAACCACTCCACGTCCATAATCATTGAGAGAGAGGCAGTGTCGATCGTCCACCAGAGCGAGGCGTCTTGTGGTCTAGTGATTGTGCTACGAGTGCTCCGATGTGTAAGACTTCTTTTAGACAGATGGATAATGCAAATGCTCTGAAACCTGTGGACGAACTTTTCCCGTCTCGTTACTCCGTCGCGTGGAACCAGGTCAAACGCGCGCGTGCGGACGTAGTTCCTCCCGACTGGACTGCCGCTAAGTCCTATCACGATGCAGAAGTTCATCGTTCTGCAGTAGGTATCGAAACGCTTGGACATGACCCGGGTAGAACCATCCACAGCTGGCGGTAGACAGATTTGCAGGCCTCTTGGGGTGAGATACGGCGCGTGATGATTCTCGATGCCCATGGCGGATTCTGCAGCCGACCAGTTACTGATCATCGCGTAAGACCAGATATTCGGGTCCTCCACGAAGAAATCGCTTGGGTCCTCTGCCAGTGGCGGTGCCCGTTCCGAGTCTGGTCCGAGTGAAACGACAGTATCGCTACGAAGCGGACCATATTCCTTGAGCCTCGAGGTAAGTTGAATCGCAAGGTTTGGAAGTAGGAGAGAGTAGTCCTCTCTCTCCTTTAACATGGTTTCTTGCAGTCGAATAAAAGCGCGCTTACCCTCTCCGTACAGCAACGGCATGTTAACATCCATGATACCGAGCAAGGAATACGCCACATCTTCCGTGCGAGTCGTTTGTCTTGAGGCGGCCCAGGATAAGCGCTCTGCTGCGCAACGCCTGTGGATAGACTTGTGTCCTTCCAGCACGTCAATGTCGATTTTTGTGATATCCGCGATGCGCGCCGCAAGCGACGATTTGGTGCCAATCTCGCTCCAGTCTGCGGCGTAGAATTCGACCACGTCAGGAGCCAGAAGTTCCTGGAGCGTCCAGCCTCGAGTGAACCACCGGCAATTCCTGAAGAGTCCTGAGGGGTCGAACTCGTCTTCGTTCCAGATGTCAACAACTTCGTCAGCTCTGGGTATATCGGCCAGATACGCATAACATATTGCAGACCCCCTGTACCAGCGGAACATTGAGTTGATGGACTCGGAAAGCTCTGCGCTACTAGTTTTGTCGATGCTGTACTCGTTATGTCAGCGCGATGAGTTGTTGGTGAGGAATTGGAGTTTTACCAGCACGTGTCGGCCCATGCCCAAGAGAATCCGTCATTCTTCGCCTTCGCGCAAGTTGACTTGATCTTCTCAAAACCATGTTTAGTTTCGATGGTACTTTTGTTTCGTAAGCTGGTTTCGTCATTGCTCAGCGCCGTCATCTCCTGGAATGTGACTTCATCCTCGCCCCATGTGTGTGAAAGTGTCACATATGGGTCTGGTGGTAGATCATGGAATTCAACAAGTTTGAGCGTTTCCGTGTCAATTACTCTCATTTCGATCGCAATTGAATTCGCATTAGGATTTGCAGAATGAGCGATATTGAGGATTTGGTGGTTGAAGTAGACAACAATGAAGCTGCGCCGCTACCTTGTCAGGGGCAGGACTAAGCACATGATCGCTTTCTCATAGTTTCAGCCACCAGTTTCCCATAGAAATTGCAAGATCGTATGGGCGGCGAAGATTTAAACCAACATCAACATTATCTTTTAGATTTAACTTGAGAATTGAGAGGTGAACCGTCCTCTCAAAGGTCATGAGCAGAGGTGGGATTAGGTAAGTCGGCTCCGATGCGCCGCACAGTCAATGCACTATGCGGGCACAGTCCGTGCCCCCACTTTAAAATTTCCAAGTCAATTGCAGCTGCGACAAAGACGCAGGCCATCGTCTCTAATCTGCACCCTCAACCATGGATATCCTCAAAGTGCTGTCGCGCGGCATCAAGCAGCCTTCCAAGGGCGCCAAACCGGTGAGCAATGCGACGGCGAACCTGCCGTCTGCTGGCAACCGACCGAACCCTCAGCTTTTCCACGACGAAGTCCCCTCCGGGCGGGGCCACAAGAGGAAGCGCACTAAGGACGAGGTCGAGGAGAAGGAAGAGGAGCAGCTGCCCGAGGTCGACTTCTTTGCCCCCAAGCCCGACCCTTCGAAGCAGGCCGCCGAGGCAAAGGAGACCTCTTCTCAGGAGACGGACAAGGCGGAAGCGCCTAAGGTCAAGCCGAAGCTTCTCCCCGAAGACGAGTGCCGACAGATCCTCCGCTCCCACCGATTGAAGCTCACCCTCCTCTCCGAGCGCCACAAGAACCAGTCCAAGGTCACCAAGAGCACGAAGAAAAAGAAAAAGGTTGCCGTTGAGGTCGAGAAGGAGACGAACCAGCTGCACCCGCAACCGCTGACCTCGTTCCGCGAGCTGAGGACGAACTTCAACATCTCGTCTCTGCTGGCGGACAACCTGGCGCACCAGGGCTACAAGGTTCCCACGGAGGTGCAGCTGGGTAGTCTGCCACTACTTCTGCAGCCTGAGCTGGCGCTGAAGAAGGTCCCGAATAAGGAGGAGTTGGGCGATGTGTCGCACGGAGTCGACTTCTTGGCTGTCGCGCCGACGGGTAGCGGAAAGACGATCAGCTTCTTGATCCCCGCGATCAACTCGATCATGCAGAAGAGGGCGTCTGCCGGCGGAGAACAGGATGACCACGAACTCTCTGCGATCGTCGTTGCGCCGACGCGAGAGCTTGTTTTCCAGATCGTCAACGAGGGGCGCAAGCTTGCCCAAGGCTCTGGCATTAAGGTCGTGGGTATGAAGAAGGGCATGCGGATAGCTTCCGAGGAGGACGAGATCTCTGAGAGCGAGGACGATGAATCGCAGGATGAGGGCTCCGGAGACGACGACGAGGACAGTGAGACGGAGCCTGCCAGCTCCAAGCATGTCACAAAGGCAGACATTCTTGTCACCACTCCCACACTGCTGGTCAACTTCCTCTCGTCGGGATCGTCAAAGACCCAGCTTGTGCTACCAACAGTCAAGTCGCTGATCCTCGACGAGGCGGATGTCCTCCTGGACCCACTCTTCCGTAAGCAGACCATGACCATATGGACTGCTTGCTCGAACCCCGACTTGAAGATTACCTTCTGGTCGGCAACCTTCGGATCCAACATCGAGACTCTCGTCAAGGAGATGCAGGCCGAGAGAGCATCAAACAGACCCTTGCTTCGTCTTGTGGTCGGATTGAAGGACACTGCGGTTCCCAACGTAACGCACAAGCTGGTCTACACCGCAACAGAGAAGGGAAAGCTCCTCGGCCTTCGCCAGCTACTTCACCCAACAGCAGGCGACGACTCCGGTCCGCCTCTCCGGCCCCCATTCCTCGTCTTTACTCAAACCATCGAGCGTGCTACCGCCCTCGCAGAGGAGCTGAAATACGACATCCCCCTTGCCGCTGGCGGTTCCACCAGAATCGCCGCTCTGCACAGCGGTCTCACCGACAAAGCCCGCGCAGGAATCATGCGCCGCTTCCGCGCCGGTGAGGTATGGATCCTCATCACTACAGACGTCCTCGCCCGCGGCGTCGATTTCGCCGGCGTCAATGGCGTAGTGAACTACGACGTCCCTGGCTCCAGCGCCGCGTACGTCCATCGCGCGGGCCGTACCGGCAGAGCTGGTCGTGAGGGCGGCGTCGCCGTCACCTTCTACACGACGGACGATATCCCCTTTGTCAAGACCGTCGCCAACGTCATTGCCGCGAGCGAGAAGCAGGCTGGCAAGACGGGCGAGGAGGCCAACGTGCAGAAGTGGCTCCTCGATGCTCTGCCAAATGTCAGCCAGGCGGATAAGAAGAAGTTGAGGGAGAAGGGTGTTGAGGCTAGACGAAGCCATGGTGCTGCTATGATCTCGACAGAGAGCAAGTGGGAGAGGAAGAAGGAGCATAATAAGAAGGGTGCCGCTGCGGCGAGCAAGCAGAGGAAGAAGGAGGCGAAGCAGTCTAGGAGGGGCGATGATAGCGATGACGGCGAATGGGGTGGCATCGACGACTGAGCTATCATAGGGAATATACCAACGCTTACTCACGCATGGCTCTTGAATGTCCTCGTGTATGTGACGCGTGGAGCCGTTGCTTGTTTCAAGACATAATTTTGCGTCAGTGGTGTTTTTGTCGAATCCTTACTTGAACCCAACGCACGATGGAGATGATGTTAAAGGCGTATGCTTCAATGATGACGGTCTGCCTCCTGCTCATAATTCTAGCTAGGCCCTCAAGACACAAAGACTAGCCAGCGAAATGTCTATCCCAAGTGTTCCCCGTGTATGGCTGCATGAGGCACAGGTCGCCTACGATAGGCCGATCTGAAAGAAGCCTGACACTACTGCAGTGCAGTTCAGCTCAGTAATTTGGCGACCATTACGATTGGTGCACCGCACCAGTATCTGGTGACCTCTGCGAAAAGTGTGCCTAGGGGTGCCACACCATGCCACTCAAACCGGCTGTGCAGATCAGCCATGAGCTTTACGGTCTGCCTGACTGCTCATGAATCCCTCACTTCTCTTGTAATCTGGATCGTCGGGAATGGGCAGGCATAGAGCGGACATCGCAGACGACAAGCCATGGAAGATCCTCTCTCCATCGCCGCTAGCGTGGCGGGCCTCATTACTCTTGCCGCCTCCACTACGAAACTGGCCAAGACATTGTCGGATCGATACAACGAGAAAGCCGCTGCTTCAGTGAGGGGAAACGTCGAGACTCTTGATTCGGCGCTGATCCGAATCAACAGGAGTCTCGAGCACCAAGCATTCGATCATCCTGGAGAGGAGATTTTGAGGCAGCCTATCGAGTGCTGTGCGCGAACACTGAGAAACATCGAGATGCAGTTCCAGAAACTTGAAATAAAGGGCTACTCGTGGCATAGTATGAGAGGGAGGATTGCTCGTCCAGAGGTGTTGAGGGAAATCTCAACGCTACAGATTACGCTGGAGGGGCAGAAGACAACGCTATTGATCGCAATGCAGTAGGTATCACCCAACGTTTTCGACAAGGCTTCTTCGAGCCATTGCATTCATTTTATCACATCGCGAGCACAGGTTGATCATGGCGAATAGGAACTGCACCGGAGAGAGTCAGAGCAAGATGCTGCACATGATATTCAACGCCATTGAGGAACTCAGAGCCATCATTGAAAGAGAGAAGCCCATGGACACGTCTCCTCAGGAAATTGACAATGACGTGCTCGCCAATTCAATGAGAGCAGACTTCGGCTACGCAAGCACTCCATCTGTGGTGCATGTGCATCCCTCTTTTGATGACTGGCTCTCAACATGGGCAACACCAGACGACCAAGATGGCCAGCCTACATCCTTAACTGACCAATCACCAAAGGAAGGACATCTAAATTCGGAATCTGGCACTGCATCTAGCCGGCCGCTGCAGAACGTGAAGTTGATCATCGAAGGTCTCCCGCAAGCAGCCCAGGAAGGAAATGCGACAAGTGAGATCACCACACCCGCAAACACACCATTGTATGATATCATGTTCCAACTCGATAAGGAGTACCTACAACCACCTAAACGTGACCGCTCTGACAATCTTCAAGGACCTGACCGAATCTGCGGTTTCGCGATCGTGGATAACGGAACCAAGGTTGCACCATTCATGCCTTGGAGCACCTCGTTCGTGGTGGTCATGGAGGGCCCAAGTTGCTACGACGTTCAGTCTGGGCTCAAGATCAACCACAACGAGAGTTTGGTTCACTTCTACAATGGCTGTGTGCGTAGATGACTGAAAATCACCGGAACGGGACAGCCGGTAGTTGAGAAGCTGCAATCCAACTTGTGATACGGAATACCTCGGTTCCCGAACGTGCTGCCAGCGTGACGTTCCAAAGAACGTTGCGTCTTCCGGAGCGTTCTTGTCAAACCCCAAGGCAAAACTCGACGAGTCACTATCTAATGTACGAAAAGGCTCAAGGTATCTCAGAGTTCTTGGGTCCATTTCCTCTTTTCGACACTGAGGCATACAGAGATAGGCTTCCGAAGGAAATGAAACAAAAGGGAGGACTGTTCTTCCCAATCTTTCAACGAGAGGCACCTGCCGTTTCCTTCGAGAACACCAGCAAGGGTGAAGGCGGGCATGGGAAGACGAAGACGATCAGCAATTTGCCATCAAAGTATACTCGGGCTCCATCAACTGCGTCTCTGGCCAACAGGTCATCGATTCCGTGCCACATGAGCAGGACTACATAATCTGTTCTAGACAGAGGAGGCTAGACGGCTTCAAGTCCGCAGACAACGAAACTCGACAATTTGTGGCGATGCCTCTGGGCTGGGAGTACTCGGCTGAACACCAATTGACTGACAAGGAAGACGTAGGCGGGATCCAGCTACAAATCGCGCCACGTCTTAGAGATTGTGTGGAGTTCCGTGCCTTGGATCACTTATGGAACTTGGGGTGGTCGTTCCCATGCTCCGCCACAGCTTCAGAGTTGGGGCTGGTAGCTGGTTCTGTCGTTGCCATGTCCGACTTCGACTCCGACATCAAGCTTCTTAATGAGTTTGAGCACTCATTCGCAGACCGCAGCAGGTGGCAGATTCATGGCTGGTCCAACCCTCTGCTGTACCCCATGGATGAGACTGGTCTGCATCGTGTCACTTGGGTCCAGGATTTGCTGCAGAGACGTGGTGGTCAAAACCTAGGTCCGATCTCGACCATTCGCCTCCAGCCGGTCCTTTCGGTGGCTATTGAACTGAAATTCACCATCGGAGATGAAAGGCACCAATCAGGTGAACTCAAGTCCGTCAAGAGTTTCAGTTGCTCACCCTTTCTCGACTTCGGGCTTATTGCATCAAAGTGCCTTCATGATCACGGAATCAAATGCGGCCGTTGTGAAAGCTGCGAAACATCCGAGGTTTTTTCGAGCCCCCCAGTATGGTAATTCGCATTGCTGGGAAAAGAACCCTTCATGTACGACTGGCCGCCCAAGTATCATCCCGTGGAAGCAGTGGTTGCCGAATCAGGCGCCTTGCCTGGTGATTTATGTTTTTACTGTACCAGATACAGAGCTGGCGTTCCCTATATTCATCACCCGCCTTTCATAGACAGTCGCCATGATCAAATCAGGTTCCAATATGGGCAATCACCCAGTTCAGCTGGCTGGGAGATCTCGCTCGGTGCCGGAGCACGCCTTCTTCAGGAAATACACCGCGGCAAAGAGCAGACTTGGGACTGGAACAACAGTTGTTTGGTGAACATTCAGCTACTGAACGCGGCAGCTTTCAAATCCGTCACGGGCATCCCGGCTTGGACACCCATATCTCTGCTGGATTATCGCAAGAAGGGGCGCATGTTGCAGGTGCCAGTGGTAGCGGAGAGCACATACGATTCTACGACACAAGTTGCTACTATATGTGATTTGAAGTCCATTAGTGCCCTTGACATAACACTTTCGGACGACGTTAGATATAAGCGTCGGATCATCAGTTGTCCTGAGTGCGAGACGGATATGTGCAATGTTGCGTAAGTTCAACCATCTCTGGGAATTGCGCACCACTAAGCTCAAAGCTGCTAGACTTTTGCCGTGCAAACACATCTTCTGTTCAGATTGCGTGGGCAGTGGCTCCAAGGTCTCCTGCTTTCAGTGTGACAAACGACATACGGGCTAGGTCATCTTCTCCGGCGCCATGGAATCCCCGTTTGGGAAGTCACCCAAGATCATCTCTTCCCGCGCCCTCTCAAATTACCAGTTACTCAAGCAACTGCGGTGCGTTCCTGGGTACAATAGTCCACAAACGCCGTCACAGGAAAGCCCCCAGACAGTAGCTACAACGGTTACACGGCTGAGCTGGGGAGATCAGACTCCTTTCTGGTTCAATTTCATTATTTCCACCTTGAACAAGACGGATAAGCAGTCACGGTCGTCAATGACCAAAATACTGGCAATCGAGAAGGCTCGATCTTCCAACATACATCAATTTGAGGCATTGCTTCCGTTTCTTTTGAAGGCTGATTTCTTTAATGAGAAGGATTATCATCAAACACAGCTACTGGAACTCATTAGCCTGTCGGTGAACAACGTGGATAGCTCCAGGGCACAAAATCACGGCTGCAGTCCGAGAGCGTCTACATGCCTCGACTTGATGGAGACCGACTCTATCGGACCAGACGGGCTGCTACGCTGCGGTGTGGACTTGAAACTATGGCTTTGCCCCCAGAAGACACCAAGTCTGAAGTGCGTGGCCCGGTTCCTGAAGCAAGGCGGCAGGTCGTTTCTCAAAGATTATGGGTTCAACCGTGGCGATCTTCAAATGCCGGTCTCCCGGAAAGTCAGAGAGATGCTGCTTGAGGACTTCATATCCAACGACTTCTACCTGAACGCTCGCGATACACAAGGTCGCACTATTCTGTGGACTGAGCGTCAGCTCACGTACATGTTGCTGGACAACGGCGCTCGCGTGGACATACCCGACAACGACGGCAACACCTTGCTTCATGCTCTAGTCGCTAAGCAAGATCCCACGAGCCTTCAGAAGAACCAAAGGCCGTTGGAAACCCTGTTGAACCACAAAAAGGGAAGGGAAGCGGTGAACGTGCGCAACCGGGATGGGCTGACCCCCTACCAGCTTGCACTGGGAATTGATGCGATTCATTATTGGGATATCTACACGAGGCTTTTCGACAACGCTGAGGCTGATATCAGAATCGTCTTTCCAAAAGGTGTTTATCGAGATAAACTGACGTACAGCCTGGCGAAGTGGCAAGCCGAGGTGGGAAGTGTTAGTGCGTTCAGGAGGCCAGCTGCTGAGGAACGCCTCTTGAGGGCGCGGCTGGCGATGTCATACTCGTAATATCGAACGCTTGGCTACCAGAGAGATGCTCTTCTAGAAGTACGGATGCCTATTTCACATCAGACGAAATGTGGATATGGGTACCACCACAGCTATATAACAAAGCATCTGGACTAGTAAACCAACGAACCGCATTAAGAATGTTCTTTCATTGAAATCATGAGTAATAGACAGAGCTTCATTACATAGCTTTGTATTATTAGTGCCGTTTTCGATATCGAGAAAACAGTATCTGTCTGCAATATGTGGCTGTAGTCCTGCAGCCTTGGAGCTCCTCAAGTATTCGTCTCGAGTAATACATGTAACTAGCCTTTACTGTACTAATGAAGAATTCGAAGCATGTCTGAGTAGGATACTTGCATACTGGACACTAAACAGGCATGACAAGAATTTGATGAATGCCATTCGAAGTCACAGATTAGGAAACAGCTGCCTCAGTTGGGAAGGAGCAGACCGTCCCTAGAATACTGACTTTGAGCTCTGAAAACAAGGAATACATGACCACTTACTAGCAAGTTGTCAGTCTTCCCGTATTATAAAAGGACGTTTGTCTGTATGCAAAGAAATATCAAGAATGTCTCACGATGACGGGGGAATTGAATAGAGAAATCGTCCCCTCAGTCATGGTAGAGGTGCTTTGAACATCACTCACGCGTGCGTCATGATCACGCCGACTTCACTCAGATATCACAAGTAGAAAACAGATTACAAATATCAAGTCGCACAGGATAAGCCGGAATAAACCAAGGTCGACAGAGATAGCGGCTGGAACATTGGTATGAGATCAACTTAATAAACTGCACGTTGGCGTTTAATACACCTACTGATCTGTGTTTGACGGTCTGCCACTTCACAAAGAACCAGCTGAGCCAGCAACTCATTGTCTTAACGTCTAAAATTATCAGCCCTCCACGCTTAAATAACACGCGATGTCCTTTGGGAAGTGCCATAGAATTATCCGCATGGCCTAATTTCTCACTTTTCTGATTCACAACGCACCGCATGTCCAGCAAATACGAGAATACTATTCCTTTCGGGAAGTATAAAGCATAAGACAGAGGATTCATCTTCTTCTCTTCTTCTTAAGACATAATGACTGCATGGGAAGTGCTGATGGTCTAACCCTCGGTCTGCGTTTTCAAAGCTTCTCATGACTTCCGAGTGAGAAGCGTGCAAGACTGCCGGAAGCGAAATCTCGAACGTAACAAAACACATCAGTCTTATTCTAGTATAAACAGCAGACACCAGACAATAACGACGGCAAAAAAGACTCTAGCTAAGTTCTACCAACGACCAGCAGGTTGCAAACTTTCCACGAGCAGGCTCTTCAGTTCTCAGAAGATTGCACGTAGGACTCAATATCTCCTATCATTTGTTTCGCTGTGGTGCTGTCTTGCATCATGAAGAGCAAAAAGCTATCATTTTATAGATAGTGGAGGAGGTTAACCTGGGACGGCTTTACATGGCCACGCATCGCGCGTCGAGCCTAAGAGACCGTGGCCACGGCACTCGCAATTATTTTGAATCCCTTGTCACGTAAACACTCATTGAATCTTGCCCGGAGACTGTGGACATGGCATCCGCAAGATCCTTTCCATTCCAAAAGCCTCATCACGCAATCATACACGTCTGTCCGACCCTTACCCCGTCTTCTCGAAGCTACCGATATCATTGACACTGATACATGAATCCTCCACTAGACACCTAGAGGGTACATCGCCCTGCACACGATAACCTCAGAGTAATGATCGAGATTTATCGCTGGCTGATAACATAGATCTACACGCGCAGACGCACACAAAACAGGTACCTATGACAAGCGCGAGGAAGCCATGGAGGGTTTGGTTCATCACGAGGCGATACTAGATGTCTTTGAAGCATCAAAGTCTTACAGAGACCCTTGACGAATTACGACTTTCATCAGTCAGGAAACCATCAAGTCACCGCCACGAAAACCTTCATCATGCCATCTCAAAGTCAACCCCCAAAGAAGATGGACACAACTCCAGCAACACACACGATCCCTCACAAAGCTGAGATCCTTCAAAAAGACTGATATTCCTTCAAAACCAACACACACGTAAACACATCACAAAAGTAACAAGCCCAGCTGAGCACCCCTTAAAAAGCTTCGCGTCTACATCAAACCTACCCACCTACCAACCCACCCCTCGTGCTCTCTCCCTACACACTCATCACCCCAAGATTCCACATGCTCATCAAACTCTGCCGATGTAACAAAACCTACCGTTGTCCAAACTCCCTACCGATGCTGCCCTCACATAAAATTTAAGCCTCCAACCAAGCCACGGCCCGTCATGTCGTGCGACAGACACGTTCTCAATCCACGCATGGTCTAGACCTACGAGAACACGCCTGCGGCGCTTAAGGAAACCGTGATCCCGGGGGCCTGCCGTTCCCGCCTCCAACGGGAATGAACCGGGCGGGAAGGCACTTACAAAATCTGCAAAGGCAAAAGCCGTTGACATGTGGTGACGCCGACACTTCCCAGCTCCGTTATGCAATATCGACATCAAACCCCTCCAACCCTCCCACAGACCCAATCCGCAGGCAGAAACAGGAGAAACAAAAAGACAGATCCAAACTAACGCGATAATCAGGCAGAGAAAGTCAAGCCAAAGCCCAATCGCCCGGATAATTCTCTGCTTCACATGTCTAGCTCCGTGAGGCATTTTGCGTAATGCTTTCCGCGTCTCGGGAGTTGACCCCAATGTAATCGGCCCAGCATCGGCGCCGACACGGAGCCAGGTTGCAGCAATGCAGCCACAAAGCCACAGTAAAAGCTGAGCCAGAGAAACCGACGACCCCATCTCAAACACTAACTCAAGTTCGACGCCGATGCCTGGGTCTCGACTAAGACAGGCAGTGGTGGTGGTGTACTAGTCCCCACTTGGGGTCGTGATGTACAAGTCCGAACGCACCCAGTCGATCGGTACATCCACCGGGAGATAGGGGAGGTAAAAGAAGAAATTATTGCTCTCCTGCCCACGCCAAAGGGCAAGGAAAAAGAAAGCATGTGAAGAATGATCGACAGCGGCTCAAAAGTTGCGTCAGTGCCATTACCCCACGTTCCAGCCCCCATCGCCAATTTCCCCCTTCCCCGCGGGGTTTTGACAAGCGCGACAAGCCACTCAACGCAACCCATCCCAAAGAAGACGGTCTCCGTGGCCCATGGCACGAAACTCTGCCAACCTCCATCTCATGTTGGATAGCACATGCGATTGGAAAATGCAAAGATAAGATCTGCTTGCAAAACCGTGTTCGAGATGGGTTGAGGAAAAGTCTGTGTGTTACTTTCCTTCCACATCCATCCGCTTCGCTTCGTCGCTTGGCCTAGATAAGCGCGGCCGTCACATCGGAGACATGCATGCACTACCTTGCCTTAGCTCGACACGGCGGGCGAAGCAGCGGCGAGGCTTCACCATTCCAGCGGCCTCATATACTGAAGAGGAAACACCGACGTGAAGAGCCGGGCGGACTTAAACCAGGCATCAGTCCCGTCAACCGTCTGTCATGATGTAGCAGCGTCATCAGCGACGGGTTAGATCGTAGGCATCTCGTGGCTCGATGTACCCCTCCAATCCACCATCTCTTTCGGCCATCTTTAGCCGGCATGTCGTTCGCGAATTTCTTCCTCTTTGTAAGATCATCCCACGATGGGCATATCTGATAATGGGACCGTTCAGCATGTGACGCTAGCACGCGCGACCATGAACCACGAGCCACCAAGTAGCGCCTTGTTTCCATTGGCCCGCTTCCTCGCCACAAGCAGAGAAGAAGAACCTGATGGAGAAACATTCTTCAACGCTCGTGACATTTCCTACTTGCTTCAAAGAATGCCGTCCGCAAGCAGGTATGAAGACACGGGCACATGCTGCTTGGTTGTTCCCCCCCCCCCCTTTGAATCTGGCCATCTCAACACGGGCAAGCTTCTCGTCTGAGCAACGCCAAAGTCCGAGTGTGGGCACATTGTCAACCTCCTAGTGGTGTTGCTGCAAGCAATCCTGCAGCATGTACGCTCAGACCTAGCCTTGCTTCTGTGCGAGGTCGCTGCGTACAGCCACGCACCATCTTGCCATCTTTCGCGGAGTAGCGACAAGTAAGACCTCGTCATTATGGGTGAACGACCACCCCAACCTCAATACTCCACCAACTGCTATACCTAGAGTGGTGGTGGTGGTGGGGAGAAAGGTTGGAGGGGTTGTGAGAGGGCGTGCTTCTGAGCTTTCTTCGGGCGATAGGCTCACGCCCTCGTGCCCGGGCCGGTCTCTGGCAAAGGCGACCAGGGCGTGCCCACATCCGTGTTTGCAGGGTCTTGACAGTCGGCCAATACTTTCTCTTCGCCAATTCTTCAGCATTTGCCATTTCCGCACTCCTCGGCCAGGTCTCGGTCGGTCCTTAAACGCCAGTGGGGGGGTATTCTGGGGTGTGTTTGCTTTGGATGACCCTCGTTCCTTGGTGCGAAATCGAAAGAGACGCTCTCCATGGCCCGTTCGTTTACGTCGTTAACCCCTCATAAAAAATAAGCGGACGACGCCGCAGCCGCGACATAATGGCTTGCTCGGACCACGATGGGGTCCATGGCACTGCCCGCCGGTATCTTGATTCTTCTCAAAGAAAGCGAACCATTGAGTTGCAAGGCTGAGCCTCAACGGGCCTTGATTGCGAGAATGGAACCGAACTCTCGCTGACCTATGTACGCAACCAAAGACGGCCGAGAAACTCGAAGAATTGTGGATATCGATGCGAAAAGGGTGTCATGGCTCGGCTTAGGTCTCCGAACAGCGGCCCTCTGGGCAATGAGGCTCCCGTTAAAACGTGAATGGAATACTGTTGATCAGTTCAACGTTGTGGTGTGCGTGGGGGGCCGGGCAACGGGCCAACGCCGTTATTGCATGACGAGGTCGGAATGGAAGGGCACGCGCCTGAGATTGGCGACGTGCTCTGCAGAGCCCTTCATTGGTGCGGACGCCTCCCAC